CGTGCCCCAGAAGCGGGATGCGGATCGGTTCATGGACTTAAGACCCCACCCCACACGACGGATCACCCCCTACGACAGATCACCCAATTCGGCCACATTCACTCAAAAACCACTAATTCTACCTACTTCATTTTATAATATTAAAAATATATAAAAAATACCTTTAGATATATAATATATAGTTTTCTTATAAAATATTTTTTATAAATTATAATTTTCTATATTAACTAAGATATTAGTAAGTTAAATATAACGTTTTTTTACTATATAAAAATGAGATTTTTAACTTTATTAAAAATTAATAAAGTTAAGTATTTTAAATCTTTATAATTTTTAGAATATTTTTCTAAGCTTAAAAATGCAGTTTTTAGCGTTATACTAATTATAGAACTTAAGGAAATTTAAATTTTTATAAATACTACTTATTATAATATAACTTAATATTTATATATAATAATACTTATATTACTAATAAAAAACTATTTATATAAGCTTATTTTAAATCTTTTAAAAATAATCATCTCTAAAAATTTATTTTTTTTAATAAATAAAAGAGTTATAGAGTATAATATAATGTTAGTATTTGTATAGAAACTACTAGTAAACACTAACATTTAAAAATACTTTTTAAATCTAATATTACTATATAATATAATATAAAAATATTTTTGTTGAATTTTTTTTCATATTAATTATATTTTTCTATAGCTGCTATATTTTTTAAAATATTTATTTTATAATTAGTTATGTATATATAAAATAGCGGTTTTGGCTGAATGTGGCCGAATTGGGTGATCTGTCGTAGGGGGTGATCCGTCGTGTGGGGTGGGGTCTTAGCACTCGGAGTTTGGCGGGTAGAAGAGTGGGGGCAGCTGTTGCATTGAGCCGTGTCGGCGGTAAGAGATAAAACAAGCCTCCGATTTCCCGGTGGATATGTGGCTAAGTTGCTGACTACTAAGTCGTATCTTGGAGAAATTCGTAGTTGGCCCAGTCAGATGATGCTTTCAAGCCTGAAGCCTGAAGCTGACGGTGCAATTTCCCTCCAGGACCTTACGCAATCATAGACACGCTAACTCGATGTAGGCAACAATCTGAATGGAGCTGTCAATTAAGACAGCATCGTGGCTGTGGAATCGTGGCCGGATCATGACCATACGACTGTACTCCGTACCCAGCATCTGTCCAGTATATGCTGTCAATATTTGCATAAGACCTGCATGAAGAAAGTAATTGAGTTGAGTTAAAGAAGAGACGAAACTTCCTTCTCTAGCTTGGTGAATATGTTTCAATTCTGAGGCTCAAAACAAAAGCATGGACGAGGAAACATCTTTTCTCTGTGCAGTGTCTCCCACACAATGGGGCATCAATCACAATGCACTCAGGGTCTTTGCGAATTGTGTGGGAAACAGGTGGAAATGCGCCTTTTGCTGACAAGCCAGAGCCGAGAAACCTTGTATTACTCCGTACTCTGTATTCCGCAGGGGCCCTTTATATCCCTGAGCAGCTCATCAGCCTTGGCTCTTCGAGCTTCATATTCAATCAAGCCCTGTCCATCGTGAAATCTTCAACCGATTTGCACGTGTCAAGCTCTCACTGAGATGCGCAGCTCCCCAACAAGCCTTATCGCAATCGCAATCGCTTATCGTAATGGTCCAGACACCCCGCGCTCGGGCCAGCCCGCCTCTTTTCCCTATGACGTCCCACTGTCCACACCTGCTGCCAGGCGGAGCGGAATTTCCACCCCCAACCCGCCAGCTGAAGCACACCCGGCTGGCCTGGATTGACATCTGACCACCGACAGATTCCAGTTCCGCCCTTGCTTCTCGAACACCAGCAGAACGCACACACGCAGAAAGCTCTCACCTCCAAAGGGCAGTGCAGCTAAAGCAGCTTTATTTTGCTTGTTGCTTGCTCACCCCTTTCTGCACACCTGCGCCCCGTCCACCTGCAGCTTCGCATCTCCATCCCCCGCCCCTCGACCACCGCGCATGTCTGCAGACCGCTGCTGACTGCGGCTGCCGAGGCCCCTCCAATTCTCAATCCTCCGTCCCAAAGCGACCTGACCGCCGCATCACCACTGCCGAAAAGCTTGAAATCCCCTCTGAGCGACGACAGGTCTCCCTACCGCAACCATGGCCGACGAGCTTGACTCGCTGGTCAAGGGCGCCCCGCCGCCGGGCAAAGAGCCCAAGGCCGCCGTCGGCACCACCGGCGTCGTCCCCGACTCTGGCAAGCAAGGCGACCCGTTGATCCATACCCCGAGCTCTCCGTCCATGATCTACCTGAACCTCCTCATCCTCGAGGCCTCTCTACGCGCACAGTACCTCGAGCTTCGCGCCCGCCGCCGCCATCACACGTTCTTCTTCACCTTACTGACCGCATGGATCAGCGGCTTTGGTTACGCTCTCTTCTTCGCCCCGCGTGAGGATGGACGTGGAGTTGGTGGCTCTGTGTACTGGGGCGTCGAAACATTCGAGAAGATTTGCTTCATGGGAGGTGTCATGACCGCGATACTGGTATGGGCTACAGGAATTTGGGAGCGAGGCATCAGGTGGCCACGCCGTTGGTTCGCCATCTCCAACAGAGGCCTTCGAGGTTTCAATTCTAAGCTGGTTATTATCCGACGACCTTGGTGGGCCGAGTTCCTCTCCACCATTGGCTTCTTCCTGACCTACGGACTCTTCTCCCACACCGCCAGCTCGTCCTACCGCTACGTCGAACCATCAATCCTGCGCGAAGTCGAAAAGGAGCTGAGCCTCACCACGGACAGCCACCCAACGCTACCGGTCCTGCTAGAAGACGAAGAAAAAGGAGGTCACGAGGAGGATCTCGCCCCGGGCGGAGATTACGTCAAGCTCCTCCTGCTCGCGAAGCCGTTCACGCCTACATTTAGAGAAAACTGGGAAATCTACCGCACAGAATACTGGGAGAAGGAGAACGAGCGCCGCGCCCTCATCCAGAAGAAGCTCGCAGCACGCGACCGCCAGGTGGCCAAGCAGCGGTGGGGCATGTTCTGGTGGCTGCCGTGGCACCGCATCGACAAGGCCGGCCCGCCGCCCGCGCGCCAGCAGTCGCCCGAGAAGACGACGATGCACCCCCGCGCCGCCGCCATCGAGCGCGAGCATAGACGCCGTGGCAGCACTACCAGCGCCCACCGCCGCAGCTCGACGAGCTCGAGCCGCAGCCTTGCGCCGTCCGTGGCCGCGACGAGCGACGACGGGGATGGTACTGTTAGTAGGAAGGCTAGCACCGGGTCCAATGCGTCGGAGAAGCGGAGGAAGAAGACGTTGACCAAGGCGAAGCGTCCCAATATTGAGTCGAGGTCTGTCACGCCTGATATTTCGTCGCCGTTGGCGAGGGAGGGAAGTATCAGTCGCGGGGATAGCGGTTCCGGTGCCGAGTCTGTGGCGGAGAGGTCGTTGAGGCACTCTTCGTCCAAGGCTAGTATCAGCTCGTCCATCAATTCGGTTCGGGAGAAGCAGCGGAAGGCTAGCGAGTCGTGATTGCATGGGAGAATAATGTACTTTACGAAGCGAAGAAGCGAACAGATGATCAATGAACATGGTATACATGCACTGCTCCAACGGGTTTCTACCCCATTTCCTATTTTTTGGTGTTGGTTGGTTGGTTGGTTGGTTGGTGGCGGCAACCTGAGCCTACCTTTTGAAGGCCACCTGGAATCATGGATGAAAATGAGGCTTGACCATTTGATCATCTTGTCTGGCCTTATCAACCGCCATCAGTCTGAATCCTCATCGTCGAGGTCGTCCAAATAATCTTGTGAGATGATGTGAGTATGGAACCCAGAGACTGGCTCCTTCCTTGGTTCTTTCCTGGGCCACTCGCGCCTTCCTCACCTCCTCGCTCAAGGTCCTGCCTCATTTCTGTGGCTCTCTCCTTCCCAAACTTACACCATTCGGATCAATTGTCAGACAGATCGGAAGAACGCGCTTTCGTGACTGCTTCGCTCGGCTCCACTCCGCTCCTAGTAACTCCGACTTGATGCTTCTTTCTCTGAGCTGACCTCTCGATCTTCCATCCTTCCTTTTTTCCCTCTCCCACCATCTCATTTCGTAGTCAGAAAGCCTAGCCTCTCAAGGCATTATTTTACCAAAAAATCAAACTTCAATTCACTAACTATGGAATATTCCCTTTCGATACATCGGAGTCATTGACACGTCTTAGATCGTCACTCGAACCACCTCAACACAGTTTATTCCCAATGCAGCAACATCGATCTTTCCGCCTGTCGTGTAGGACCGTCAATCCTGGGCACCAGTCATCGAGCATATCTCGAGCTTTTCCCTTTCCCACCTATCGAACGTACCAGATAGGCTCTATGCCACGCGCCGCGCTCTTCCGCCGTGGACAGAGGGGCTGGGCAACCTGACACGAGTGAGCTCTCTTACCTACGAAATTACCTACCTAATGTGAGTACAATTGGATCTTTGCTCGTCGATGACAAGGAATATTCATCATCTGCCACAGTACCTATATTTCCTAAGAATTCTTCCCATGGAAGCTCTGCTGGAATCTGAGTCTCTTGCTGTTTCTCCGGAAGTCTGCTGTCCACATGTCTACATACCGTGAGGTTCCTGCCTGTGCCTGCCCTGCTCTTTTGACAAAGTACATGAGTACGTATCCGACGACACCATCCATTCGGTAAGGAACCAACCGCGTCAATCGCCTTCTTCTTTCCCATTCTGACTTGAAGCAGTTGCCAGAGGGCAAGCGGATGACTTTCTCCCCGCTCGCCACCTCATCCCACGTCTTCCGTGGGGTTCTCTCGCTTCTTCTCTCACATCTTTCCCCGAACGAAAATCCTCTTTCGCTTCTCATCTCCATTCTCCTCTGGACCAAGATCATTCTATCGCTTCTTTTCTCGCCATTCTCCGGACGAAGATTATCTTTCGTTTCTCTTCCCATCCCTTCCCTAGAAGAAGGTCTGCTTCTCAGTCCCAACATTCTCCCACGGATTCCCACGGTGTCTCCTGACAAAGATGGCTCCTATCGAACGCAAGTCTCTCAATTTCTGCTGCTCTGCCGTCCTTCACTGACTCCATATCAGAGAATGTTGTTCCGAAAAGCATCAAACAAAGGATTACTGCTCGACCTCCCGAACCACCTATCGAGTGACTTCTTCGAAAAGGACCTCTTCTCGGCTCTTGGTGTCGTTCGATCATTCTGGATGACATCTAGTGCGCCGGGTAGAGGCAGGGTCCATCTTTGGATGTTGAACACACTTCACAAGTCGGAGCATCTCCTGATCGTATTGAGACATAGCGCCTTCTTCGGTGAATCGTCGATATGATCGACAAGAAGTGATGACGCGACACAAGTGGACCGTTGTTCTCCATCGTGGGGTGACACATGGAGTCGTGATTTGCTCGGGGCTTTCGAGAGAGAGGAGGCAGCCCTCGACGACCAAGTCAATTCAACACAGTCTGATAGGGCAGTATACAGCCGTGATTATGAGGTCTCGTCGGAGGGTAACGACCAGAACGGCGTTGACGTGGAGACTAGATACCTACTCCTGCGCTTTCTCTACGCAGACTCGCCGGTGCTTGCTTCAGATGATGAAGACGAGCTCTAAAATTCAATTGAGGGTGACTGACGATAAGTATGGCTACGTAATAGGACATGACTATTGCTCTTGCTTCGATCTGCGTGACTTCAAGTGTCTGCAGCGAGCTTAACGCAAGAGGCTCATCTTATTCCCACCCAAGCTCCGCGATGCGCCGCGCTTTTGAAGATGTCAAAGAAGGGGGAATTTGTTGGCGAACAGGCAATCCATCATTTAAGTAGTCTGGCTAGAAGAAGAGGGGGAGGGGCGTGGAGGAATGAGGGACAGCAGCGACGTTTGCCAAGCTTGCCTTCAATAAGCGGCCGGGGGCCGAAAGCTCTCGGACCAAGGCAATGCAGCCAGCATATCGCTTCCAAGTCTTGCGCATTTGTGCAAGAGGGTGGAGAAATGCCGAAAGAAAGCAACTTCCAGCCGACTTGCGACTGTCTTACGTCTCCGATTGGCTGCGATCTTTGAGCACAGCACCTCTGTGCTAATTTGACCAATGAAATGCCGAATCTAGAGCACAATAAGACGAGAACATGTGTAGGTATCCACGATGTGTAAGGCGGTAAAGATGCCTTCTTCTCCTTTGTCCGTCATGACGATGTGTCTTCGAACATTCAAGATTACTTATGAAGTACAATTGCCACCATGAGCTTCTCACGTACTATGCGCCCTCTAAGATCTACTCGAGTATCACACGGCCATGAAACTCATTCATACTCAGTCCTACCAGTTGTCTGAGGTCGCGGACTTCAACATACCTCCATTTGCAGTGCTGTCTTACGCACCGGCGGCTTTGTTTCCTTGCGACAGCCAGCAAGTTCTCTCGCAGCGAACGGCTACTCATTTTAACAACACCGTCTTACAGGCTTGTCAGAAAGCAGACGCCCGGGGACTGCAATTTCTCTGGTTCGGATCTGTATGCGTTGACAAGACCTCGTCTTTGGGCCTGCAACACGCTGTAAGCTATTCCTTTCGCCTCCTGCAAGCAGCAACAGTGTGTTTTGTCTATCTCCAAGACCTCTTGCCGTCTTCTGCCTCACTAGAAGAAAGCTGGGGCGGCTGCAGATACTGGAAGCGAAGTTGGACACTCCAGGAGCTGATTGCACCTCCAAACGTTGAATTCTTCGACGCCAACTGGAACTTCCTCGGCGCTAAGTCTTCTCCGGGCCTTCTCGATCTTCTTCAGACTGTCACCCGGATTGACAAGGGCACTTTGACAGACAACAACGCCTTCTCAAGGGTCGCGATCGGAGTTAGACTGTCGTGGGCGGCCGGAAGAGAAGCCACTCGCGCCGAGGACGCTGCGTATTCTTTGGCAGGCATTACTGGAGTTAACATGTCCGTTAGATACGGCGAAGGCTTAGACCAGGCATTTGCTCGTCTTGTGAAGAAGATCATCAGTGTCAACATGGATGGCTCGATCTTTGCCTGGACCAGCAACGACGACCAATTTGCTCGGGGACTTCTCCCACGATCCACGTCTGAATTCTGCCATCTCTTGGAAACGTCCGACTTTCCATTGTCACAGCAGTCTTGGGCTTTCGAGGGCAATGTTGTGTTCAACAGCAACGGTCTACTGCTTGAATCCCATGCAGTTTCGGAAGACCTCTCTCTCATCTTGGAGATCGGCCGGACTCGCAAAAACCGATTCGGCGTGCGTCTTCAGGCATGGGGAAACAATTTCGTTCGAGTCAGCTCGCAAACTCTTGTGCTGGGGTTCAGGAAGCCAAGACCTTGCCAGATTCTCGCAGCCCGCGATATCGACACAATCATGTCTCAAACAATTAGCGACTCGTCCAAGAAAAGAAAGAGATCGGGTCAACTCAACACCCGTCCTGCCGAATACTCGGCCATCTTAATTGGACCCCCTCACACTTCTTCCGCTTCATCTTGTGTGTTACATGACGACGCTTGCAGCTCATGTAGCTACCCGGAGGATACCCTAGACTTAGGGGTTATCAGTGTCGACGAAGAGGGAGAAGAAGAAGAAGAGGGGGAGGAGGGAGAAGAAGCAGACATTGACGACGAGGATGGCGAAAGCGAGGAGGCAATACACGACCAAATTGACACACACGAAAGACTTTCAGTGCACCCAAATCACCCTTACCAATCTGAGCGCAGTGGCCTACTGCATCACTTCAGTCCACGGGTACGAAATTGGGCCCATTCAGCGACATATATCGCACCACCTAGAGGTCGGTCATTTCGGAAACGAGTCAAAATCGCACACTCAGAGTCGTCCCACTTGGGCGAGGATTCGGATTTTGAGGACGCTGATGATCATTCAATTGACGGTCACTATCATTTCGCTTGTCCTTTCTACGCGATGAATCCTACAGAACATCAGCATTGCTTGTTAGAGGACGATCTGCGATCGATGGAAGATGTTGTTGAGCACATCCGAAAACGACACTCAAAGCCGCCTTACTGTCCCAAGTGCCGAGTCATTTTCAAGACATCGATGGCTAGAGATGAACATATTCGCCGAAAGATTTGCAGACTTCGACCTTCTACTAGAATCGAAGGCGTTGATGGGAACCAATTGGATAAGATCAAGAGAGTGATGATGTCAAGGTCCAGTAGGTCAAGTGAGGCAGAGATATGGGTGCGCATTGGCGCAGTAGCTTGTCCTGGTACCTTTTTCCACATCTCTCCTTACCTCCAGGATGGCCTTGGTCTCGAGGTGTCGAAAGTTAGGGATTACTGGAATGCGAAGGGCAGAGTCTACACCGAGGAGTACATGTCTGCAAAAGGAATCATGCTCACAGAAGATGAGGATAATGTTGGAGTGTTGGAAGCCTTTCATTCTCTGACTATGGCTGATTTGGTGCAGGAGGCGGTCACTCTCGGTGTACATTAGTCGTGATGCTTGTCGTTGCAATTGTGGAAATAGATTATTTTATATAACGGAAATGAATAAAGTCCTTTCAGACCTAAAATACAAGTGTGTGAAGCAAGCTCTTGAAAGAATCACTTTCAATCCCATGGAGCATCATGCAGTTGTAACAAAATTCCATTCGCTACATTTATGTTCTGTGCGGAGACGTAGGCACATGCCGATGCGAGATTTGTGTCCTTCATGCGCAGCGCTTGGCGCGAGCGACATTGATGATGATGATGAGTCAACGACGCGCTTGCCTCTGCTCCTGAGATCCTTTCTCTTCCGTCTCACCATCCAAGTCGACGAAGTCTTCCATATCCATCGGATGGGGTATGCCAGATGTCGAAATCTCATAGGGAGCTATGTTGTCTGCGATACCCTCTGTGCTCAGACTGGTTGCATTTCCTGGAACAGAGCTTTCTGGATGGCCAGGGTTACACAGACCAGACGTAATATCGCCGTTGAGCATATCGACATCCAACCCTGTCGTCGGAACGTTCGGCAAGAAGGGAGTAATGTATGTAGTCCCATTCGAGTTTGATGGGTTTGGTTGCAGAACCGTCAAGTGTGTGTCATCCATGACCCTAATGGATGGGTCCCTGCCGTGTTCGTTCACTGAGTGTAGTGGGATTCGCCTTGAGATTTGAGTGCGCTCATTGCGCAGAGTGAGCAACCGAGGGAGGACGTCTTCCCAGGTTGCAAGAAGGAATTCGCGAGCCCAACTCGAAAAGTCCTCGGTGTTTATATTGCGTTCGGCAGTTCCTGCAAGAATGCTGAGAGGCTCCCAGATACCTTCGAAAACGTACGCTGACTTTGGCCGTGGATGCTCCTTGAAAAAGTTGTCCCACACCCAGAAATACTTCTCTTCGTCGTTGGACCCCCAAGGGACATCACCTTGCAGCTGCAGAATCTCATCGCCCATGAAGTCATCTGTATAAGCACGGACCTGGCAATTCCCCAATCGAACGTGGTCGTCGCGTGCTGCTGCCGGATTCTTCTTGAACTTCTTATAGCACAAGGGACAATAAAACTCCCCGAGAGAATGACATCGCTCTAGGTGTTGCTTCAGACGGTTGAAGCCAATGATTCGGTACTTTGCGACACAGCGATAGTGTGTTATCGGATCGAGCTTGTAAAATGGACATCCCATTGGAAGGCCTGTGGGTCGACGACCTCGAGGACCCTCCTCCTTGCCGCTGTCATCGCTGTCATCTCCGCTATCCTCGCCGTCCTCGGGACCATCTGTGGGTGTCTTCCGGGTGCCGACAGATCTCCCCTTTCCCTTTCCCTTTCCCTGGCTCTTGGCTGCACCATTTGCTTTAGCCCTGCCTCTCGACTCCTGCTTCTGTATCTTTGTATTAGGCTTGGTTCGATTTTCTCTTCCGAGTGAGGATGGAAGGCCGAGATAGATCGCAAGGGTCGCTAAGATGGCGCCCACGTAATTACCGAGGACGGTGAAAAGGTTCTGGAGCACTGCATCGAATGTGGGTGTCAGTGGTAATACTAAATGTTTATGTAGAAATTGCTGGGTGCTGTAGCGGACTAACAAGAAAAATTGTATAAATTCTCCATCCGCGCCGCCATGCTTCGTATCAAGACGCAAATGAGTCCCAAAGCCGGTTCATGGTATTTGCATTCGTATAGCTCATAATTCTGTTTAACAACAGAATACGTGCGATCATCAGCCCAGATGCCATCGAGGGGAAGGTGAATGACTGTGGCCGACCAACGCGCGTGGCTGAACGGTTCCTGAGCCCCGAGAGCCAGGGAACGAGACCCGTGGGCTACCAAAGACCACAGAAGAAGGAAGCCAGAAAAGTAGGTCAGAGCGCCGAAGAGAAGGACGAAAGGAATCAGAAAATGCACTAAACCACGCTGGAACTGCATGTTTGCGGCTGGCGACCTTGACAACACGCGCAAAGTGTTTAGCATTTGTCCGACTCGAACCAGGCCCTCCAAAGCAATAAGAAGCACCGCCTAGGACAGGTCCGTAGTGGTTTCACCAATACTCAAGATTGATGTGCGTGTTACGATTGACCCTCTTGGTGTTTCCCTGCATACCTTTATGTTTGTTCTTTGTCTGCCACCTGACATCCGTTCATCCATCAGGCGTAGCGGCTGCTGGAATCGCTTTTAAATTGCTATGTATTGCAGCACGCTTGCAGACTCAAATGTAAAAACAACCCTTGCGCATTTGTGGGATGCTCTCAAGATGGAGGTTTTGCGCATTTGTGAGCACCTCCTCCGGCGACATAGCCAATTGAAGAAGCGTAACGCCAGGTTTTGCAGCAGGCTACATCTGAGCCCCGGAATTGACGACTAATATGAGACAAAAGTAGGGAAGTGTAAAAAGGCTTTCAGAGCCTGAATTAAGTACCTTCGACTTGTTCGTATTTTGCTCAGAAGCGCGAATGTTTTCGACACATTTACGCACACTCTTTTAACCATTTCCTGGCCTGGACGAGATTGACGTCAAGATGCGGCCCAAACGAGCATATGCGCCTAGAAAACGTTTGGTTCTAAATGTCGCACGAGCGTAACCTTTACCTTGGCTTACATCGCCTGAATGCCTTCACTCCTAGACATACGGAGATGCCACGCAGACCACGCAGACATCTAACTTCACAAGAGCAACTTTAGATCAAAATTTCCGCTTCTCAAACCACATCCCAGAAGTGATATGAAAGAAGTCTCTGATACCTTACCGTTAGGAATGCCGAAGCCCCAAAGAGGGAGAACATTAAAGTGAATGCTATTGTATCATGGCATCAGATATACCACGGATGCCAGCTTTTAGGAAGCGATGACCTGAAGTTGGCTGATCATGTCCTGCTCCAGACAATAAGAATTCATAATACCTCCCAAACATGTTTATGTCTCTTAGTAACTTCGATATTGCGAGGTGCGAAGTTGAAGATAACGAGGGCCAATCTCCCTCCCAGTCTAGCTTTCTTGTCGCACATTCGGGCTAGGCTATGAAGTCTGGTGGGGCATGCACATTGACGTACATCCCCGGAGCCTCCCTCCCTACATGCATGTGGTGTGCAGGCTGCGCAAATGCGCAAATGCGCAAGTTCTGTCATGTTGGTCGTCCCACCGTAACGTTGGGGCAATTGCAAGCCCTGGAAACTTACGCTTACAACTACACTCGAGGTACTACGAAAGATCGCTGGCAAGACTGTCACTACGGAGAACCGCACGCCGATGCCATCGCGAGACTTCGAAGCCCGAAGTCGATCTTCTCCGCGAGCTCAATGACTCGATTGAAGCAACGATCAGTTCCCTCAAGACCACTTTCTAGCAGTGGCTCGAGAGCATCATTAAACATCACTTGGCCATCAAAGACAACGAAAAGGCAGAATGGGGTAAGGGTGTTAGACAGTCACAATGCTTCACGTCGGTCACCTCGGGCTTTACGTCCTAAAGACACCTTAAATTCAGAGGGAGATATGGCCTCGATGCTGAGGGGGGAGGGGGCTGTATTCTCGCAAGGACGCAGCGTGCCGAGCGTTGGATATCTGGACAACAGGAAGCTGCAGCATCAGCTACCATCACAACAATCAGGATCGAAAGAACTCAGGCATCATTCAACAGGAGACAACTGTTGTCCTGTTACTGCCACTCCGGATTTCTTGTCTCTGATTCCACCTATGGCCGGGGTAGACCTGTCCGCCAGTCATTACATACCATCACATCGCCTCTCCGATGTAGCTCCATGGCCAATTGATTTTTACTCTTCTATAGGGAGCCAGTTCAGCACCGTCGATACAGATGGTAGGTTTTCACTCTCATCAGACTCCAATCACTTACTTACAAATGTTGTTGAACGACTCAGAGCCTGTATGCTCCTCTGACAACATGATATGTGAAATAGACACCCCGCCAAGTTGGGATCAACCTCCCTCAGAGGGCATGGTTCCACAAAGTACTCAATTCAGTTCAGACCTGAAAGTACCTGAAATGTTGGAGTGTGGGCAGGATGTTCACATTCCGCTTGACCCTGAGCTTCTGAGTCTTGGGGAGCCATCAAGCAGGGGCCAATTTCCAATATCGAAAAATGATGCGTTTACTTTGATTCAATCTGAAAGCCAAAAGGGGATAGTCGGTGGCTGTTCAACGGCAACCGGCTCATGCCCTAGAGTCGACAGCAATGATATTTCAAGCCGCGTGGACTTTACTGGGAGCAAAATGATTCCTCCAAGTTTCAAACGCAGTTCGGAGAAGCTGCTACCCAGTGTTCAAGCGCCTACCAAGCGGCAGAGGGTGTCACCCCCTCCTGATCATGCTATCTACATGAATGAAAGCGCTGATGATGACGACGTCACGATCAAAGGCATCACCGGCAATTTCGCATGTCCATTCTACAGAAATAATGCTGTACGTCACATGGCCTGCCTCAATCTCAGAATGGTTCGGATTCGAGATGTCAAGCAGCATCTCCAGAGACGACACTCGGAGCCTCGCCACTATTGCCCACACTGCTACAAGAGGTTCGAAACATACTTGGAACAGTCTCAGCACGTTCAAAATCAGTCCATCATAGGATGCTCTACAAAAGACAAAGAGTTCGATTTCGTACCACCGCATGCGAAAGACCTTCTCAAACTCAAGGTTAGCAGGAAGGACACGGCCGAAGAACAGTGGTACACAGTCTGGGACAAGATTTTCGAGCCAAAGCCAAGACCTGAACACCCGTACATGGGGACAGTCATAGAGGAAGTCACCATTATGTTGCAAGAATTCTGGCAGCGTGAAGGAGATCAGATTGTTTCAAGGTTCATGGAAACACGGCAGGTGAAGTTTCAGGATGATGTTTGTCTGAAGGAAACCCTCCATGGATTGATGAACGCATCTTACAAGATGTTTGGAAAACAATTCCGGCCATCACAGCCCATGGAGAGGTCAATTTCGTCTTCAAGCAATGAACAGCAAGGCGATCCTGAAGATCAAGAACCCGGGGCACTGTATGACGAAGATTCGGAAGACTTCATTACGACGATGGCCAGTCTAGACCAAAAGGGATTCGACTCTCTGTCCTATGAGCTGTCTTCGAATCATCAAGCCCCTGACGAGATAGAAGAGACTACAATTTGGAATGATCTCTTAGCCGAAACCACACATTTAGAGTTCACCTCTGCCGCGATTGATTTCAAAGACGTCGGAGTTGGCAAATAGAATGTCAAAATGGGCACTAGGAGATCGCTCTTCTGTGGGAGAGTTGGATAGATCCTTGTCATTGTATAACTTCTCTTCGGCTTTGGAATAACCCAGACCACGTGCGGTAAAGCTGGATCTGGAGTGCCTTGGCCGATCAATTTAGGGTATCTGCGAACGTTTTCCTCAGTTTTGAGAGACTCGTCTTGCACCACCCTGATGAATTGGAAGGTCACTAACTTAGACTCGACTCTCTTCTTTTCGAAGCTAGTTACTTAGTAATATTCCAAGGCGTGAATAGATTGGGTATTCGATGGAAGTGCATGCCGCCAATTGATTTGAAAATGTAGGCCGAGACTCCTTGTAGCATAGAGAAGATATGTGGGTGATTTGTTTAAAATTTGATTCATTGGACATCTTTCATCGATGTATCATTAAGCAAACCAAATCTACTGAGAATGGGTGAAAGCATGTTTCGAGAGACTTTCCCACCACCGCGGATGTATCAGTTGCTTGAGAATCTCTTATTCAACTCTGGGCATCTCCAGGATGTGATTTGCGTTGGACCGACAAATCGCGAGGAATGAGGCTTTCCAGGGTAGATTTTCCAGAGTCATTCAGAAAATGAAGTCCTATAAGGGTTCCCAGACGAGCCAATACCTAGGGAGTCTTGGTCGTGCCGGTCGACGCTCCAGGCATCATTGTATCTTCCTCCTCCTTCTCCTACTCCTCATCATCATTGGCTCTTTTCTGAGGTTACACATAGCGTGCAGGGCATGGTTTCACTGCAGTTCGCCGGGGTGGCTAAATCAGGCTGCCTATCCCACTTCCCCGTTCACTCTACGTGGCTCCGTCGATTGATATTTCAGTAATCCTACTTCATCTCTATGCAGATTGCTAGAAATCTGGAGGAAAGCATCATGGCTAGCGTCCCACTCGACATGCTGATGCTGATAATTTACATGAAGGCACATCCGCATGGCACAATCCAGGTACGATCGTCTTGTGATTGTTCCTCCAATATCGCAACTCACTAAAATAGTAGCAGTATTGGTGTAAGAACTACACTATATCCAAGTGAGTGCTGGATAACGTCAAACTTGTAGAAGCGTGCTGCTAGTGAGGGGAAGTACAGATCACGCATTGATTCAAGTCCTTCTGTATTGAAGCCGTATTTGTTAGTATCCTTATTATAGGGTAGTTAGTTCGAACTATAGGTTAACGAAGAAATTAATTAAACTATGTAAATTTTTATATAAGTATAAAAAAGAGGTTCTAACTATAAGTTAAGCTAGTTATAATAATTATAAATAGGGCCCCTAATTAGCCCCTATATAATTAGCTATATACCGTAATTAAATTAAATTTTTAATTTAATATTAACTTTTTTTTTATTAATTTACTTATTATCATTAGAAATATAATTTAACCTCGGGCCTATTTATTAAATTATTTTTTTTTCTTTTTTTTTTACTCTTTTTATATAACCTATTTTTTTATTTATATATTAACTTTTTTATTATTTATAAATTATTTTAGCCCCTTATTAAGTACTATTTTTATAAAAGTATTAATAAGGTTATTATTATTATTAATTTAATAAATCTTAAGGATCTTATACTTTTTATATAATTACTTAAGGGCTATAATATTAATTATAAACCTCTTTTTTTTTATCGTTCCTAATTTAATAAGGTATTTATATAGTAAGTAAGAATTAATATAAATAACTATTAAGATTAATAAAAAGTTAAGTTAATTAGTAATCCTTTTTAGTATTATTAAAATTATATAAGTAAAGTTAATACCGTTAACTATATTATAAATTTCTAATATTAATATATTTCTTATTACCCGCTTATTTTTAGTTAATAAATAGTAAATTATATTATTATATATAGTAAATTTACTTTTACTTATATTCTTATTAATTAGGATAATAATATACTTTAATTACGAAATAAAGTTATTATTATTTATAAATAACTTATTAATAAAAATATAGAGTTTATTAATAGCGAGGTTAATTAAGTAATAAACGAGGCCTTAATTAAGATTCGTTTACTATTATTTAAGCTACTTATTAAGTACTTTAATGTCTTATTTATTTAGATTTATAGCTTATATTACTTTAGTATAGTTAAAAGTTATTTTAGGTTAGTATATACTCGTAATATATACCCCTTATATAAGCTTAGCTTTATATTATTTTTTAATATTAATTATATTTAAATTAATAAAGGTAATTTTTTTATTCTACCCCTTTTATTAAAAAATAATAGTTTCCTTTTTAATTATAAGAATTTTATTATTAAACGTTAATAAGTTATTTATTATAAAGACCTCTTTTAGCTTAGCTATAAAGCCCGCTTTTTAAAGCTCTTTATTTTTTTTTTATAAAGTTAATATTAAATAGGCTTAATATATCGTTAGTTTATATTTTAATAATTTTAAATTATTCGCTTTTATACTTAGAGATTAGTAAATACGGGTTATACGTAAATATAACTATTAATAATTAATTAATATAAAAATTATAGTATATAGCTTATTAATAAGTACCCGATTCTATAAGCTTATATAATAGTTTAAGTACTTTAATAATTATGCTTTTTAAGTACTTACTAACTATTTCTTTTAATAAGTAGGCTAGGATTTTTGTTATAAGTCCTATAGCTAATTAAGTATAGGCCTAAGTAATATTACGGCTCTAAATCTCGTATCCCTTTTTCTATAGCAATACTATTAATATTATTATTAATTATTAATTATAACACTATATTATAACTAATTAAGTAAGTAGCGTTACTTTTTTAATATTATTATATTTTTAAATTATATACTTAGATTTTTTATATAATTAGGGTATTTTTTTTTTAATTTTATATACTATTTACGATTTAAATATATAAAGACTTTTATATTTTTTAGGGTTATAAAGGATAAATTAATAGACCCTTTAATTATATAAAGTGTTTATTTTAATAAGATTTAATCCCTTATATAGCTTTTTAATAATTATAATAATACTTTTTTTACGTAGTTTAACTACTAGCTTAAAATCGGCTTCTTTTTTTATTATATGAAAAGTATTAAATACCTCGTTATTAATAATAAATTATTATATTAGGGCTTATTATTATAGTTTTTTATAATATCTTATTAATAATATTAGTACCTTTTTAATAATTTCCTCTCCCTCGTTATTTATTAATACTATTATAATAATTTTATTAAGGATAATTTCTTATACCTCTATTATAAGTTATATTATTTTTCTTAGCCCTTCTTCTTTTTATAAGTTAAAAATTATTTCAATAGGATCCGTATAATATAATCTAACTATTATAATTAATACTTTAAGTAATTAGTTACGATTTTTTATAACTACGTAAAACTGCTTATTAATAGAAATTAATTTATATAGCTTAGCTTATTACTAAGTAATTTTGTACTAAACTTATATATTTAAATTTAAAAATATATTTAAATTAGCCCCTATATCGGGCCTATTATACGTAATAATTACTTCGTTAACTTATTTTCTTATACTTATTTTATATAGTACTTATATTACTTTTTTAATTATTTAGGCTCGTTAGCTTATATTTAGTAATAATAATAAGGCTAAAGTTATTCTTAAATATACTTTAAATACTAATAGCGTTAGTATAAGCTTATTAAGCCCTATAGTATTATTATAATACTTAAGTACTATTTAGAAGTATTTATTATTAATAGAATTAGGATTTTCTTTTTTAATAATTCTAAACGCCCTTTTTAATTATTAGTATACCCTTTTTACTTTTTTAATATTATAATACGCTTTTATAAGTACGATTTTTAGTTATATACTATAGGCCGTTATATTTTCTTTAAATTTTATTAATTTAAAACTCGTATTAATATCGGTTTTAATACTATTTAGCGGTTTTTAATATATATTAATTTAGCTTTTTTATAAAGCTATTTATATTATTTTTATTTATAAATTTTAAAAGAATTGCCCTATTTAAAATAATATAGCCTCGTTAATTATATATAGGACTAGTTAACTATTTAAATAGAAAATATTAATAACGATTTTTTAATTAAAGTTAAGCTTATTATACAATTTAAATTTAAATCTACGTAGGCTCTATATATTTATTTAGTATTAATAATATATTTTTATTAACTACTCTAATACCCCTATTTTAATATTATTATTATTTAATTATTTTAAGAGGCTATATAACCTCGCGATTAATAAGTACCTAAATCTCTAATATAGTTATCTAAGCTTATTTTCTATTAAATAATTAATTAACTTTATATTATTAATAAGCTTTATAAACGCGTACCCCTATTATTATTTAACTATTTTAAAATATTTATTATTAAAGATTTTATTTTTTATATTATTAAATATAATACTTAGTTAATTTATATTTTTTAAATATAAGAGAAATAGGGTATTAATAAGTAAAATATAAAAAGTTATCGTTCCGAAGTACGTTTTTATTTTTATTATACTTAGGGCGACGATTTCTTTACCTAAGCTAAAGCTAATTCTTATAATACTTATTATTAATATATTAAGTATTATTAATACGATTTTTTATAATACTTAGAATTACCCCTTTTTTTTTATTAACTATTTTAATACCCTAATATTTAGGATAATCTTATAAAAATTATTTAAGCTATACTTTTTACTTACGTAAAATACTTATATAAGCTTAGTACTTAAGTAATTTAAGTAATATAAAAAGGACCCCTTTAGTTACTTTTAGAATTACTTAGTACTATTTTTTTTTTAATATTAATAAAAGTAATATCTTCTTTTTAAATATTAAAAAAATAGAATTCTATACTATTAAATTCGTCTTTTTATTTATTTCTATATCCGTTATTTAAAGGACTTTCCCTTACTATTTATAAATAAAAGCTTATTTATTAAAAGCTTTTATTACTTTTTATTTATTTAGCCTCGTATATTTTTTAAAAACTAATAAAATAAAAAAAAAGTAATTAATATTATTAATTTTATTATAATTTAATTTATTAGTATAATAAGTAAGATTTTTTTTATTTTCTAAATTTTTTCTAAGGGGCGGATACTTTAAGTTATTATTATAATTACTATTATTAAGTTCTATATCCCTAAATCTGCCCTTATATATAATAAAGAATTAGCTAAACTAATAAAGGCTAGTTTTACTATTTATTATTTTCGATTTTTTATATTATTTATATAATTTAGTACGCTCCTTTTCGGAGTAGTTACTTAACTAATATTTATCCTTTTTATAAATAAAGTATTATTTCTTTTATTACCCTATTTATAAATTAAATCTTTACTTATTTAATAAATCTAAGCCTCTTTACTAACGATTATTATACTTAGTCTCTTTTTTTTTTTTATTATATATCTAATTAACTTAATATTATTAATAAGAGTCGTTATATATTTAGAAATAGGTTTAGCGTAGTATTTTTATTTTAATATTAAAACTAAATCTTAGCTTTAAATAAAGCGTTTTGTAGTTTTTAAGCGCTTAATATAAGGTTATTTTTATTTTTAATATATACTAAATTATAATATAAAAATATTTAACTTTTTACTTATTAATCCTCTTATTTAGCTAAGTTTTTATTAGCTTATTAATTCGATTAATAAGCTTTTTAAGGATTTTTATTCGTAATTTACCCTCTATTATCCTAATTATAAATATAAAAAAAATTACTTATAGCTTAGATAAGAGCTTTAGATTTTTATTATAAGTCTCGAAGCGGCTTTAAATTATATTAATAATATTAAAAAAGTCGTTCTAATTAAGATTACGTATTACTTCGTAATAATAATTAGAGGCTTTATTTATAAGTATAATATTAATTATTAAATAGTACTAATATTCCCTAATCCTAACTTTTTTATAATAATTATAAAATATTATTAGGGTTTTTTATAAAACTTCGTACTTCCCCTAAAAATATAATTTCTCTTTTAAGAAAATCTTTTTAAAATTTATAAATTATTTCGTATTTATTATTATATTTTTAGTATTTATATACGATCTTTACGTTATTACGTATTATTAATAACTTTAAGTCGTTTATTTCTTTTTTTATTAGCTAATTAGTACTAAATTTCGTATTAGTAATAATAACGAGCTATAGATCGAAATAAGTAAAATTATTAATTATTATATATTTAATATTATATTTTATTTCTATATATCCTTTTATAATAATAAATTATTATTAGTAATTATAAAAAAGAAATCTAGGTCGTTTACCCTTTTTTAAATTTATTAAAGCAATTATACGCTTTATTAACTTATACCTAGTTCTATAGTACGAATTTTTTTTTATAATTATTATTATTAAAATTTTATATAGTTTTTATAATTATAATTACGTTAATAATACCTCTTATTTATAGAGAAATTTATTAACTATTTTTATAATTCTTAGGCTTATATTTACGAACTATTTTTCTAACTAGTAATTAAGGTTATTTACGATTTTATAAAATAGGGGTTGCCCTTATAGCCCCTTTTTTTTATAAACCTTAGTTAAATAGATTAATATTACGTTAATTTACTTATTATTAGGTTAATTTATGGTCCTATATATTTACGTCCCCTAATAATCTAGGTTAATATTTACCTATTTATAAGGGATTAGAATTCTATTTAGGATCGGGTTTTTTCTTCTTTTCTTTTATCCTAACTTACTAAAGGTCGTACTTTAGTTTATACCCGTATTAATAATTATTAACGTATTTAATTTTAATAAGGATATATTTAATTTACGTATTAGTTATAATAAATTTATATTTTTATTACTTAACGAATTTATTAAAATTTAGGTAATTCCCGCTTTTTTTTATTATTTTATTATTACTCTTATTTTTATTATTTTTAATAATTATTATT